AAATGAAGGGAATGATAGGGAGGGGTGGAGTAGGAAATGGATAGGATGATGGAGAGGGGGTGATTTGAACATGGATAGGATGATGGGGGTTGGATACAAAGTGCAGAACTGTACATGTACCGGGTACTTAAGAGGAATTTTAATTATTCACCATCCATCAAGCTTGCAAATGCACTGCTTATATAATCATCCAGGTCTAGTCTGACTGTACTGGACCCACATTCTAAAGACATGCCTCTCTCTTGTAAATGTAAAGAACTGTGAAGCCTTTGTACCTGTATCTCCCTTGGTGGTGGTCTTTGTTGATTTACTTAAAATGACAGGTGCCTTTCAACACACAGTCTGCACACAGCACTAACTAGGTTTTTTTCTGCTAGGGTACAATGAATTGTATTGCTAAGGTCGATAGAATAGCTTGTACATCTGTATTGCAGTGGTATGTCAACCAATCGTATAAAAAAGTTTGATGAAGCTTTGTTGGTATTTACTTGTCGATTTAGTAACCATATTTATATAACTTGGATGTCTCTTTCCTGTTGTTACAAGAAAGAAATTCCAATTCATAACAAGCAGCGAGCCATGGCAGCTTTGCCGTTCTAGTTTATGGGTGACTTGGCAAAGCAAAGGTCTGAATTCCTTCCTGGCTGATACGAGGACGCCATGTCAGCCAGGTGGAGCAGGCTTAACCTTGTTGAGTCTTAAGTGAACGTGTCATTGTTCCCAGAGGTCTGGTCCTCTTCAGAAATGTCCATTGGGAGCACACTCCTTGCAGAAATAAGCACAAAACACATCATGTTCTCTCAGTCTGAACTGGTTGTCATCAATTTAGCTCATGTCACCATAAGCCCTGCATTCACTGTTTCCTGTAGGAATTACACGTGTTCCGTAATAGAATAGGGGGATTTCCTCGAACGGTGCTGTCTTGAGTTTTCTAAATGTATGTGGAGTAATGCAGAAAGTGTGTGGTTTGTCAGCGCATCTGCCTTACAGAGGCCTCAATTTTACATCTTCACGACAGGAAAGGGCGAAAGACGAGATTTACACAAAAAAGTGAACATTCAGGTGAAATACTTTCAACCGAGAAAAGATTTTGTCAATGATTACCCAGCATGCCCCTTCATATGCAAATTACATCAAGTGCTGGCATAGTACATGTACATTGCTCTTTGGGATTAACTTTTGAGGTCAAATGGTAGGTGAACTGTGCTTTGACCTCACATTTTTTTTGCAGTAAGTCCTACCTTGTGTGTTTCCTAGCATTCACCTGATTTGCATGTAGGTCACTTTCAGTTCCAGAGAAAATCAGTGTACAGACAACATGACATAAGATTTGTTTGTTTTGCTTTTTGTGTTCTTTTTACGTACATGTAGGATAATCAAATTTAATGTTCAGTTGAGATGAGTGGATCAGGAACAGCAAGTTTCAACTGCCTGTGCAGCAATTTGAAGGTCACATATGAAGTTTTCAGTGGGAACGCGAGCCTGAATCACAGCTTTGGTGGATTAGTTTGAATTTAGGGAGTTAGAAGGTTTAGGAGTTAGAAGGTCACAGAGAAAAAAATCTTGTAGTTCTCAGGTTTGAGAAATGTGGCTTCTCCTTTTTATGTACCCCACAAATGCAGTATGAATATATATATATATATAAAATTTCTCTTTTACAGACATTTTCCTATTTGTGTTGATGAAAGGCAGATCAGTTTCAGTAAGAATAAAAGGCCTCTTAGCCTAAGTTTCTTATTTTTATTTTTTTTGGTCATTTTTTGGTTATTTCCTGGATATTGTTTGCCGAGACTTTCTAATGGCTTAAAAAGAGGGCAAAAGACAGTACTTACTCACGGAATTTCCTCCCACCGAACTTGATTTAAATTTATCTGACATTTCATGACATGTGACCCACAAAGTAAATTGATTTCTAGGTGGAGAGCAGTTGGCGGATAAGGCATTGAAGGGTGTGACACTACGGCAGCGGTTACATAGACGAGGGCGTGGCGGATAAACCGGGTCTCTTGTGGCCGTGACTTCAGTTCTTGCCATCGCTGCCTGTAGCCGTAGCCTTAGACAATTGTTTGCACTATGGCATTGGCTGTTCGGATTGGATGGTCACACCACGGACGTACATGAAAAAAAAACGTCCGTGGGTCACACTGCCTGGCGGATGCATCTAATTCTTATAGACTTGCGTGTTCCTCCCAGTTGCAGCCTCAGTGGTTTTGTCGACTGAAGTCTGCCTCTGTAATGAATGGCGCCCTCTATACGCCATCGGACACTCAAAACCTGATTTTTTCCCCCTGGAACGTGAGGGAGCCAGCATGTTATATCAGTCAGGGGAAATCAGAGAAACCAACACAACGACCTTTCGCAGGAAAGTCGAACGCGAGTGTCAGTGGCCTGTCGCTGGCCTACTTTCTCCAGAATTAACAGCTATTCCATTCTTCCGCGGTATGTCGATCGACCTGAGAAAGCGATACGGTCGAGGCGAACTCGTGGGGCTAGGGTCACGGTCAAGCCCTGGGTGCACGGTGTAAACATGTACGTGAACCCGCTGTACACTTCCCTTGTGTATTTATTTTTCTCCAGTTCCTCAGCTTGTGTGTTTTTTAATGTGCTGGTGAGGAAGAAGTAGGCCAAATTTTGAAGAGTGGGTTTTTGGGTTAGCGGGTTTGGGGTTAGCTTGCTTGCTGTTGTGCGTTGGGCATGGGGGCTTCTACTGCTTTCCATGATCACCAACCAAGCTGAGTGCCAAGAGTGTCACAGTTGTGAGTCAGTCTTCAAATTGTACCGGTCAGTAAGTTTGTTTTTTTTTTAATTTTGGGTTGAATTACCAGTTGCTCTAGCTCTACTGAGTGGAGTGTTAGTATTCCTCTTTTTCATAGTACGACCGATCTCGTCCAAAATTCGAAAAAGAGGAATACTAACGCTACACTCAGTGGAGCTACAGTTGCTCATGAGTCTGTTAGTAATTTCCGATTTTGCTTTATGAAGACTGCTGAAGAACTGATCTTTATGTATGTTTTTCCTATTGATGTTTTGTGTTCCCTACTCATTGAGTCGCAGAATGCCGTTCATCAGTCACAACATTTTGTGACGGAAATACGTCACAGTTACCGACGCGCAAAGCATTGTGGGCTATTGTTCTAAACCACAAATACTTCAATGTGCTTTGTCATGCTCACGTGGAAGTGTTGACCCGTATTGTTCAACTCGACAAAGAGCGCATCGTGCATTAACTGCTCTCCCCAGCGCCCTAGTGAGCTGTAAGGGCTGCGGGGGACGACCCGGGAGTGAAGGTTTAATCATCAACTCAAGGCATGTTGACTTGAACTTGACACAAGCAACCCATGAAGCTATGACGCATGGTCACGTGTCAGTTTGGCGGAAGGCCGTGCCATGCCTTTAAACGAATTGACCCATTGCACGAAATGTCAATAAGATGTCAATAAACTTTTTTAAAAATCCAGCAGTATCTGACTGTTTCGAAGACTGTCGATATGTTGATATTGTTGCAAAATGATGATAGATTTTCTTTGTTAAATTAACCGACTCTCTCCCATTCAGCGCCGTTACCAAGGACGTACGAACTGCGTACAGTTACGAAGGTGAAAATCCAAACAGTGTTCCTGTCCATACCTTGTGAGGCATGAACA